TTATAATCTTCTCTTCTAGATGTCGATACGCATTTGGACTAAGTCGTGGAATTATCAGAAATCTCATAACATCGTGATAAACCAAAGAAAGAAACTTGCTATGTTATGATAAACTTGCCGTACAACACCTTAATTAATTAACGAAGCTTGTTTTGCAGCAACCGCAAGGTAAACTGACAGTACCGGTACAAAAAACCCCAAAAAACAACTAACTAAAACAAGCTTGCTTTACAAGAACAGTAGGAATAAACAAGGCTCGTGTGATTTTTCTGACAAACTGTATGGGCTCTATAAGCCTAGTTTCAGTTTAATGATACATTAATGTTCAATGCCAGGCTTATGTCTGGTACACAACTACCACTAAGGTTCTGTGGCAGCATAAATTTAGTATTACATGGTTCACATGTTTCCCAATATTTGTGCAATCAGCACTTCAAGACCAGAGTTGCTGAATCATGATGATGTAGCGACAACAGGAGTTATACTGAAGGGGGGACTGGGGGGCGGGGGGCTGGCTAAACAGTATATTAACTGTGTGTTGTTCTCATTGCCACTGCAGCCGCCAATCTGTGATGGCTTTTGGCCAAAGCTGGCTGGCAGATGATGATGGTTATGATACATCTACACCCTACTACCACAGCTCAGTATATGGTTGGTATAATGGGTTTGTATGATGGGTAAGATTTCTTTCCACCCTCCATCTCCTACATAGGAAAGTGGAACTACGTTCAATGGGTAAAGCGTTTTCTTGCAGGTCCTAAAGAGTTTTTGATCAGTTGACTGCAACCTGGGTTTTAGGCTTTGACCATTGAACGCTCCCGTCCACTAGTCTTTTAAATATTGCCCAGTGATTCTGCCCCTTGTGTTTAAGCCACCGTGGATTAATGAGAGTTCATGCTTTGCAACAAAGAAGATGTAAATGTGTGAGTTTGAGATGGGAGCCACAAGATTGGTGTGCATGAGACACCTTCAACTGACTAGAGTACTGAATTACTGATTTAAGGTTCAAATTTTATTTTATTTTTTTTTAGATGTATATCTTTACACTAGAAATAAATGGTTTATTTTTTGATAGGACCTAATATTCTTAAACTTTAGTTCAGGTCCAACATTTTTCAGTCAGGTCATCTGGACGGTTTCTTTTTTGTGTGTGTGTGTGTGTGTGTGTGTGCTGAAATGTTTCACCTTCCATCCGGGAAGAATCAGTTTTGTGTTGTGTATTTCCTTGACTGATGAAGCCTTCCGGATGGAAGGTGAAACGTTTCAGCACAAAAAAAAAAAAAAAAAAAACTGTCCAGATGACCTGACTGAAAAATGTTGGATTGTATACCTGGATTATTGAGCATGGACTTTGTTGTTTAGTTCAGGTCTCACTGAAGGTCATAAGAACTGCCACACCATGGAGTGATTAAAAGGACCTTTATGTTTACCAACTGACAGGTTGTGCAGCCATCTTAATTATGAATGCCACATTTACACAACACTGTAGCTGAAATGTTGTTGGACTTTAGTTGGATTTTTAAAGCAGAATTTAACAGGTCTCTCTTGTAAATGAGTCCTCGTGGGTCAATGGGACTAACCTGTTTAAATAAAGGTTGAATGAAAAAAAACAGTGCTACTCGCGTTCAGAAGAGACAGATATAGAAGCAAAGACTCATCCAGCAGATCAGTTTTTGTTCTGCACAAGTTTAGAGTGCACATCATTGCAGACAACACCATCGGTTAAGTAGCTTCTACTGTTGCATTAAAAGCATTTTTAATGGTGAAGGAGCTGGAACGTGTTCACTTAGCTCAGTCAATAATGCTTAAATATGAACCGTTCACATTGTAACATTCTATTGTCACTCAAGTCTCTACTGAGCCAAGAAGACTCCTTCACTGAAGCTTAAAATGCTGGATGAACATAGTTATAGGAACTACAAATGGCCACAGTATTCGCAGTTCAAAAACAAAAAGACAATTTGATTAGGACTGAAGAGGTATCCAGAAGACCAAAAACAGTGTCTTGTCCAAAGGCATGGACTTATCGAAAGACAAATCAACACCGTCCCCAGAAATACCAGACAAATTTTCAAAGTAATACTCATTGCGAGGCTCAGTGTTTTATTCATGCCACTTCACTCTGTCTGCAAATTCAAAAATGTTTTAATTAGTCCTGATGCTTGCTCAATAATGCAGGTAGATACATGTACCTGTTTTTAATTAGGTTTATTAACTGTAAACGTGTACAGTTGGTTGGTCCACGTCTGTTAGTGTCAACTTGTAAAACAAGTTTAGGTCAGCTATCTGGTCAAGTGTAGAAAATGTATTGCAAGAGACAGTCATTGGAAATCACACATCAACTTCTAATGTATGCATTTATAATGCGGTTTGCTGTTTTGGGGTAGCTTGCTGAGAGTTGTTAATTGAAAGCAACCCACAGACCGTTTACCAATAAAACTATAAGCTGGCTTTGATAGAAGAGGCAGATGAGGGGAATTCTTTGGTAATTCAGCTGAATGGGCTGCTCATGCATTATTTACTACATTACTAGGTAGACACACACTCCACTATAGTTTTATAAATAGGTTCATGAATGCAAGCTAAATATTCACACAGAATATTGAAACCCTAAGAACTCACAGCATGTCAGTAAATAAGTTACTGACTGAATCTGTGAACTTTCAGGCCACTTGACAATCAAGATTTCTCAGTGTCAGGAACACGATCTCATCAAGTTGTTAGAAGTCAACTGAAAAATGCTAGTCCAGATCTGTTTTTATTCATTTTTTTTTTTTTTTTTTTTTTTTTGTTGTTGTTTTTGTTTTGTCAGTAGGTCAGTTTTGGTGGGACTGTTGGGGGTTTGGTAAGGCCCTATCATTGGGTGGGTGGTGGTTGTATTTGGTGAGCCCAAGAAGTTGAGGGGTGATGGTAAGGCCCCTGGTGGTTGTGAAATGTCTTTGATGCAGAGGATATTGGTAATTCTGTGTAACTAGCACAGACTCTGGAGCTGATGGTAAGATTGTCAGGTGTGCCATGTGACTGAGGGATTATGGTAAGACCCTCTGACTTCAGGGTTTGATGCAAATTTAAAAGAAAATCTTTGGCAATCATCATTTCATCAAAGCAATTTTGGTCAGGATGGCAATGAATCTGTCCAGCAAAGATGAACTGAATGACACTAATGATTAATTTATTGTGAAGTGGGAACATCTGAATACTTATAAGGATGAAAACGAGACAAAGAGTAAAGACTTGATTTTTTTTCTGAATCCGTTTACTGTTGAACGCTGCTGTTTTTTATTTATTTATTTATTTATTTTAATTGTTATTTTAGGTTTATAAAAACTTTTACAGTAAACTAGATTACTTTTGGGACCAGAAAACACACCAACTGAATCTTAACATTTTAACGGTGATATAAAACTCAAGCCTATGTGTCCAAGGCCTTAAGGCTCCCACAGACTCGAGTGTACTTCAGTCCGCGTAGGTCCGTGCGTACTAGATTAGAGTCGAAGCGGACGCTCACAAGGCATGTCTGCACAAAGATCAATTTTTGCGTGCGCGTATTTGGTGTTGCACAATAAACTGCCCAGCGACGGACTGTTTTGTATGCGGCACCAATGTATGAAATTCCCATGAATTAAATTCCCTTTCTTCATCCCTGATCTGGTTTAAATGTCCTTTTCTTTAGTTTTTTCCCAAGAGGCAAGTGATCTCTTCCTCCTCGTCCGTTGACGCCATGACTGAAATTGTGAGGAATGAAGGAATTTGTCCCAAGAATTAAAATCAGGTCCAGCGTGGCTGTGGGAGGGTATTTTCCTGGTGGGCTGATCTGATGTGTAGGCTGCAGGACCAGCGCTTCCTGTTTTTTTTGTATGTTGTTGTTTGGTTGTTTTTTTTTTTTAGAACTTTTTATCGACAACATAAACGCAGAACACTGCTACCACTGCTCCTGGGCTCTTTTTTTTTGGGGGGGGGGGGGGTGTTTTTTTGTGACCTGTCAATCACTCCAGTAGGTGTGTCAGCAAATGACCAATCGGCAACCTTAATTTGTCCCAAAAGTAAACGCCCCTTGCCTGTGGAGCTGGCTGCAGCCGATCAGGGTGTACGCTTGAGTATGAAGTCTCAACAGTCTGCGGACAGTGCGTGCAGTTTCGCGGCTCACGGAGTACACACGGTACGCCCGAGTACGTGGGAGCTTCATTTTAGATGTACAGCTCTTTTTTGTCATCTTTTCTACAGAGTTGTATAGCAGTGGTTCCCAGTTGTGGTCCTTGAGGAACTCCATCCTGTATGTTTTACTTGTTTCCCTGCTTTGGCTCACCTGATTTGAATGAACGGGTTGATAAACAGACTTCTGCAGAACTTGAAGTCATTAAATCAGGCGTGCTGGAGCAGAGAAACATCTGAAACATGCAGGATGGTGTTCCTCAAGGACCACAGTTGGGAATCATGGTTGTATAGTATATTAAAAAAAAAAAAGTGCATGTAGAAGTAATATGTGCATTAGAATATATCCTGAAACATAAATTGCTGAAAACTGCAGTGACTCGAAGTTGGTCAATTTACATTAAGTTGAAAACAGGTCTGATTTTAACCAATTGTCAGACTAACTGAAGTCTGAGTTTGTAAGTTCCACTTCCACTTAATTGACTTTTTCTCTTCTGCTTGTCGAGCAGTAAAGATATATTTTAAGATCCATTTTGACAAACTCTTAATACTAGCTACGATACGCACTTTTAAACAAGTCTCAGTAAATGTAGAAGGAAAAAAAAAGGTTCCTGGATATTTAAGTGAAGTTGAAAGTGTAACGTATGAATCACTCATCGGGTGGAAGGAAGTCTACTCCTGTTATCCTTCGGCTTTTGCCCAGAGAGCAGCCATCTCGGCTTCATCTGCTCCTGGTCAGTATAATAATACACCGTTTCCTTTCTTTCCTTTTTTCTTCTCCCTTGCCCACATTGATGATGATGATCTTGCATCTCATGTCTCTTGTCCCTCTCTCGCCTCTTCTACAGCTGCCTACAAGCACGCAGACGGGAAGAAGATTGATGGACGGAGGGTCTTGGTGGATGTAGAAAGAGGACGCACTGTCAAAGGATGGCGTCCTCGCAGGCTAGGTCAGCTTCAGCTTTTGTTAAACTTTGATCGCCCACTGCCACAAAGTGTTTAGTATGCTAATGAGAATTTCTTGTCATAATATGGAAGAGGACACCAAACCTTTTTTGGATATTGGAATTTTCCAGCTGGAAAGAAAAGCTTTGCTAGTTTGTCTTAGTTATTTAAAGATGTTCTGGTGCAGCTTCTATCAGCCTGACACAAAACAGCTTTTAAAGGCACATTTTACGTCTGACTCTACATTTACCATTACTGTACCTGTTTTTACGTGTGTGTGTGTTTTTTTTTTTTTTTTCAGGCGGTGGCTTAGGCGGTACCAGGAGAGGTGGAGCTGATGTTAACATCAAGCACTCTGGTCGAGATGATGCATCCCGTTACGATGACCGCTCTCTGGGGGCGTAAGTAATTCTTTTCAGAATAGATGTTGATGTAAAATGACACTGTGGTGGTTCTAATCACTTCGTTCTGACTGCTTAGTGACCGTGGAGACCGGATGGAACGAAGTCGGGAACGTGATCGGGACAAGGACAGAGAACGTCGGCGGACTCGGTCCCGTGAAAGGCGCAGACACTCCCGGGAGCGAGAGAGGGAAAGGGACAGGCAGGGCGGCGCAGGAGAAGAGGTCAGCACCAGTAGCCGTCGTCGTGAGCGAGAGAGAGAACGTGGGGTGGCGGGGCCAGGAGACAATAAGAGTAGGGAGAGAAGTCGAGACAGGAAGAGACGAAGCAGGAGCCGGGATCGCAAAAGAGACAGGGAGAGGGGCAAAGGGGTAGATGGGGATGAGGTGGGCCAGGTAGACGGCATCCCTGAGGGTGGGGAGCGAGTCATGGGGGAGCAGGAAGGAGAAGTGGCCGAGGGCACGGAGGAGCGCCGAGAACGGGACAGAGAGAAGGATAGGGACAGACGGCGCAGCCACAGGGACAGAGACAGGCGTAGGGGGGACAGAGACCGAGACAGAGAGCACAAAAGGGAGCGTGGAGAGAGAGACAGGGGGGAGCGGAAAGAGGAGCGCCACGGTTCCACACGGGAGGATGTGGGTCCCCAGGTCGAGGTGGGCAATGAGGACAACGATGCATCGACACAAATGGAGGAATACAGCCAGGACGGAATGACGGACCAGCAGTCTGTCCCGTCAGCGGACGGCTATGGCTCCGGAGAAAACGGCTACAAGATGGAGGCTCCAGATGAGTACTGATACAGGAGGAGACTCCCATGTGTAAATGAATTGTTTTATTCCTGCTGTTTTTCTGTCCGATGCCTTCACACTCTCAGGTCTTCCTGAGGATTAAAACTTGTAGTCTGCTGTCTCGCCGGTCTGTTGGAATATTTCATTTGCACGTTCAAATTTGGTCTCTGTAAGTAAGTGGCAGTTTCTCTACATCTTATTAATCTGTGCCACTAAATGTTTCTAAAGTAGTCTGTGAACATTTATTGTTTTAATTTCTGTGGTGGTTAAGTTCACTTTGGGTGGAAATTCAACAGGAAAAGCTCGGTTCATTTTGAGAAAAGAAGATTATGGTTCACACAGCAGGTACATTCTGACCTCTGCTACAAGAACCAGAAGTTAAAGGAATCTTAGTGAAACAGTTGAGGGCTATTCTGTTTTTCTGCTTTTTTTTTTTATCCATTTATAGAGTTTCAGGCCATTTTAATAAAGATGTCTCTTAAAGGTGAAGCTGTTCTGTGATTATTTAACTCTTATCACTGTCTCTGTTCATTTCATAAATATTTCAATGAACTTTAATCAAGCTCAGAAATTATCACTGGATGTTCTTATACATCGGATAATTGTTTGGGTCAACCTGATTTAAGATGACTGTAGGGCTGCAACTAACGATTATTTCAATAATTAAAAAATATATAAAAAATTCCCGATGAATCGACAAAAGAACCCGTTTTAATTTCCATCCCTTCATTCCAAAATTGAACATTTGACTGACATAGCAATTCGCACAAAAAACAGGTTGCTATTTGACTATTCTGTTAGTAAAATATTCAATAATAAAAAATAAAAGTTAGTCAAATAGCTAAAAAAAAATAAATGTACACAAAAATATATATGCAAATGTATGCTTTATACCTGCACAATATGTAGTCTACTTTGTAAAATGTTTCCTTGAGGGAAGAGTGTAACCTGGATTAAAAGTGTGGATCATTGTAGTGAAGCCTTCGTCTTCAACCATCGACAGAGGCCTCGTGTCAGTGATGCTCATTTAGAGATGATTTCAGTGAAGACAGCTGCTTGCTGTGGTGTCCATGATGTCTGTCCCATCATGAAGGCTGTTGTTTTCTGGAATGAGAGTAAATATGTATTATAGCATAATTTACAGCAACTCAAGAAATGACTTGTTTCACTTACAGTGTTGGGTTCAGGCAAAAGTAGCTCAAAGAGCAATTAAACACACACGTATATAAAATACTTAATTACACACATTTGAGTAGATGTAATAAATTACTTTAATTCCTGTTTAAATGCAATTTATTCTGCCATACCTGCAGTGTCTTCAGACTTTGCCAGCAAATTAAAAGTTGAAGCTTAATCATTAAATTATCTTTGAATTAGATTTCTTTATAAATCACATTAAATCACAAAAGTAACACACATGTTCTGCTCCCGTTTCCTGGAATATCTTACAAAAAGATTTGAAGCTCTTGTGACCTCTCTAAGTGACTTTAAGAATCTGTTGGACTCCTGGCAGGGACCAATGCAGACATGTTCCTGTTATTAGTTTTCTACATTCGCCTTAGAATCTAGCAGTTTTTTGTTTTGTTACCTTTTCCTTTTAGCCATCCTATTTGTAAAAAAAAAAAAAACCTGCAGTATGACTTTTTATAATTGTTTATTGTTGCTGTTGTCCATTGTCATCTTTCTTTGTTGAAATCAGGTCTCTCTTGTAAATGAGTCCTCGAGGCTCAATGGGATTTACCTGTCTAAATAAAGGTTGATTGATGTTCTCTATCACTGTCATTAATCAACAAACAAGCAGCAGCTTCATCTACAGAGAGACTGACGTTACGTTTTCTCACCTGGAAACAGAACAATGTTTTATATTGTAGAGACTCGCCTGCAACACACGAGTTGGGAGTGAGACTAGTTGTATCTGCTGCTGCTCGTGACGCCGACATGTTTACGTTTATCTCCGTGGTTCTCCAGTGTCGTGTTGTCAATTTTCAAAGCTGTGTGTTTCTCAGTTTTTATCTTTGTGAAGAGCTCCCACACTTTAGAGGACTTGGGTCGAACAGTCTTCTCTGCGTCGGTCATTTGTAAAATTTACTTAATTTCCTTTGAAAACGGCCTCTGCTGTATGACAAGCCCTTTTAACAAAAACTCTGATTCACCACGCTTACGTTCCAGATATCTGAAACTGATTTATGACTAGACATATTACTTATTAGTTATAAAATATCTTTAATTTTATTTTGACTAGTCAAAATACTTAGAGATATCTCTATAATTACATTCTGACTAGTGAAAATTACGTCAGATTTACCATTGAGTTGTATGGAGGCTTCAATTCAAGATATCTTAAACAGAATTTTGACTAGTCATTTGCATTCAAGATATCTTTCTTTTAGTTCTGACTAGTCATAATTACAATTAAAGATATCTTAAATTACGTCATTCAAGATATCTTAAATGTATTTTTAGATATAAAGATTTGACTAGTGCAAATTAAATTGCAGATATCTTGATGGCAAATAACTAGGCAAAACTAACTTAAATATATCTAGAACTGTACTTATGACTAGTCAAAATTCCTTTTATTAAGATATCTCAAAATGTATTAAAGGTATCTTGAATATTTTTTTCATGTAGACGGCTTTTCTATTCAAGATATCTTGAATTAACATTTTGACTTGTCAGAATGACGTTCAAGATGTCTAGAATAATTTGACTAGTCAAAACGTCAGATTTATGTAGCATTTTGGCGAAAAAATGAAGGCATTTTAACCTTTTTATCTTATAATCTGCAATGTCAGGTCAGTCCAACTCGTATTTTTAACATGATTTTTAGCGCGGCAGTTCGGATTAGGAATGTGTGATATGGCATAAAATTCATATCACAATATGTATTGTGAAGGGTGGTGATAACGATATCTAAACCGGATTCCAAAGAAGTTGGGACACTAAACAAATTGTGAAAAAAAACTGAATGCAATGATGTGGAGATGGCTATTATCAATATTTTATTCGTAATATAACATAGATGACAGATCAAAAGTTTAATCTGAGTAAATGTAACATTTTAAAGGAAAAATGTTGATTCAAAATTTCACAGTGTCAACAAATACCAAAAAAGTTGGGACAAGTAGCAATAAGTGGCTGAAAAAAGGAAATTGAGTATATAACGAACAGCTGGAAGACCAATTAACACTAATTAGGTCAATTGACAACATGATTGGGTATAAAAAAAGAGCTTCTCGGAGTGTCAGTGTCTCTCAGAAGCCAAGATGGTAAGAGGATCATCAATTCCACCATTGTTGCATAGAAAGATAGTGCAGCAATACCGGAATGGTGTTACCCAGCGTAAAATAGCAAAGACTTTTAAGTTATCAACCGTGCATAACATCAAAGGATTCAGAGAATCTGGAACAATGGCTGTGAGTAAGGGTCAAGGCCGTAAAACTGGATGCTCGTGATCTCTGGGCCCTTCAATGTCACTGCACCTCAAACAGGAATGCCACTGTCAAGGAAATAACAGAATGGGCTCAGGAATACTAACAGAAAGCATTGTCAGTGAACACAATCCACCATGCCATCCGCCATTGCCAGCTGAACCTACAGTGCAAAGAGGAAGCCATTTCTAAGCAAGCTCCACAAGCTCAGACATTTGCACTGGGCCAGGGGTCATTTAAAATGGTGTGGCAAATTGGAAGACTGTTCTGTGGTCAGATGAGTCACGATTTGAAGTTCTTTATGGAACACTGGGACACCATGTCATCCGGACCAGAGAGGACAAGGATAGCCCAAGTTATCAAGACTAAACTTAAAACTTGAGAAATTGGTCTCCTCTGTCCCCAGACGTCTGTTGAGTGTTGTAAGAAGAAGGGGGGGATGCAAAACAGTGGTAAAAATGGACTTGTCCCAACTTTTTTGGGATTTGTTGACGCCATGAAATTTGGAAACGACAGATTTTTCCCTTAAAATGATACATTCTCTCAGTTTAAACTTTTGATCTGTGATTTGTGTTCTCTTCTGAATAAAATATTAGATGTTGGCACCTCCACATCATTGCATTCAGTTTTTATTCACAATTTGTTTAGTGTCCCAACTTTTTTGGAATCCGGTTTGTATATCGCAATATGTTTTTGATATAAAACTTGCAATAGGAATGAAAAAAAGCATAGGGCGGCGTCCTTTTGCCATCATATATTTTGAATTAAGAAAATTCCACTACTAGGTCCAGAGAGTTTTTAAAAAATAAACAATTCAAGTAGGCAGCATGGTGGTGCAACTGGTAGAGCTGCTGCCTCTCAGTGAGCAGGTCCTTGGTTCAAACCCCGGTCCAGGGGCCTTTCTGGGTGGAGTTTGCATGTTCTCTCCATGCATGCGTGGGTTTTCTCCGGGTACTCCGGTTTCCTCCCACAGTCCAAAAACATGCATGTTAGGCTGATTGGTAACTCTAAATTGTCCTTAGGTGTGAGTGAGAGGGTGAATGGTTGTTTGTCTCGTTTGTCTCTATGTGGCCCTGTGATGGACTTGCGACCCGTCCAGGGTGTACCCCGCCCCTCGCACAGTGATTGCTGGACATGGGCACCAGCGACCCCCGTGACCCAAAATGGAATAAGCGGGTAAAGAAAATGGATGGATGGATGGACAATTCAAGTATTAGGCTTTTTTCTTGTAGTGCAAAACAGTGCAAAATATATCAAATGTAGTTTTAGCCATATGTTTTAAACAAAAAAATATGTTAACTCTTAACAGTTCTATTTCATATAGGCTTCGCCCTTTAAGAGCTGTCGCTTAGTGGTTTTATCCCGTCATGCAAAGCATCGCACTGAAAAAATTTTGTCCACGCCCACCTGTTGTGTGGGCCCCACCGGGTCCGTATAGTTACGCTAAGAGCGGGTAATTGGCTTTTTCTTCAGCAAGCTAATGGCACTGTCAGAAGAACGAAGAAGGGAAGTTGTTCAACTTGACCAGCTCAACATTTTGTTAAGGCTGTCTGTGACCCCGCCACGCCAACCTCCTGCCGCCCCGGTGAGTTTTCCTCCCTGAGGAGAAGCAGACGAGCAGTCTTGTTTCAAAGTAAGCACCGAGGAATATTTCTCAGTGGCGGGTCGCTACATGCTGGACGACGCCATCTTGTAATTTTCCTTTTATCGCCGACTCTGATGGCTCCTCCGGGACAGGCGACGTCAGCAGCAGCCCCCACTGCTCGCTCCCTCCCGGAGAGCGTAGTGTTGGAACGAGGGGGGCTGAGCGAATGCTCACCCCCCACCCCCGGAGCTTTTTTGCATCGGTGGCCACACCGCTCCCAGCCGTCGGTGTCCTCCTATGGAGCTGCCCGACATAATCCAGGAGGCGGCTGACATGAAGGGACTTTTATCCGTCCCTCTCCTTCCCCCGTCCAGATCGGATGATCTAGTGGGAAGGTTTCTGGGCTCCACCCCGGCTCGCCGTCCTGATCCCATCTGG